CCTTGAGTGTAGTTTCGTTTTTTTTAGGATGCTTAGAACCAAGAGATTGAGTTATGACGGTAAATAGACGTTATCCGAACCCACTTGAATGCACGTATAATGCAGGTCGAAGTATTATGGTGAAAGGTGTGTATTGTTTTACGTAGTTCCATCATTTAGAAACCTTTCTGAGCTCTTGAATCGCCGCTATGAAGTCTGCAAAAATGTGAAGATTGCGGATGGTCGGTATTTTGGTGGCTGCTGCTTTAACATTGACATTATGGCCTGTAGTTCCGTGACAAGAGGGTCGACTTTCCCAGATGCATATCGCTGGTGCCCCTGAGTGCAAGTATGTCGAAGGAGCTGTTGAGGAAGAAAAATCGGCCGCCGTCTGGGAATATCGCGGCATCCGCCTAAACTTGACAGTGGTTGTCGTGCTGTGTTTTGGGAGAGGGACGTTAGGAGGGCGTGCCTCCCTGATCGCGACGTCGTAACTTGGTCGGTTTCTTGGTGGTAATGTGGGGGAATTCCAGGGAGTATTCGTGTCGACTGTACGTCCAGCGGGGGGCCACGGTGAAGATGCGCACGTAGCGCAGCAACCGCCGGTACAAACTGCTGTTCCTTTGCCTGTTCTTGTTGAGAGGTGAGTTTCGTGATTGTGTTCAGCCTCGTGTGTTTTTGCAGGATTGAAATTAGAGTAACGCGAGACAGCGTCGTTATAGCGCGCATTGCGTCAAGATTGCTGGTTTCAAATTGCGACCACTTTGCCGCCGTGAGTCGTTGAAACTGCGCCTGCTATATAATTTACGGTTGCAAGATGGCACGCACCAGCCGTCGAGCAATGTCTGTACGGGCACCACCAGATTTCGGCGCTATGCGTCGAGTGAGATAGAGTGGTGTCAGATGTTTGCCTAATCTTTCGGAGCCTTTCGGTTTGAATATCCAGGCGCAATATCCAGACATTCGTATTTTTAGGTATTGTTATGATACCCAGCTTGAGTTGAAAGGGTGTCCGAGTGAATTCCTTACATCCCGCCTTGATTGCTACACAACATTGTTGCATTTTTGCGAAGAAATTTACAACCCAGCTCGTTCTGAATAGTTCAGAAGAATATCAAGGGCTTCTTGGAACAGCTCGGCTTTCCAGAGAGGTCCTGGTGACTAGTCCATAAAGTGACGTCGACAGCATAGATGAGACATTCGACATCCTGAACCCGATGGAGTTGCCATGCTAGAGGAAAAAGAAGCGGAGACAAGACGGTGCCTTGGGGGACTTCGTTATTGGATGTAAAACATCTTTCTCATTGTCCCTTCGCCCTTATAGCAAAGGCTTCATTCCGAAGCAAGGAGTATGCAAATCGTGTAACTCGCGGAAGAAAGCTAGGCGGAGCTCAAGTTTGTCTGCTTCTTTTGCAGGGGTTGTGGTGACGTCAGAACGCCGAGCTCTGATTGGCTTTGATTGAAGAATGGTGGGTAGACCTCAAGGCAGCTTTCTTTGAGGTATACCCACTATCCTTCAATCAGAGCCTAACAGAGCTCGGCGTCTTTCTGATGTAACCGCAACCTCTGCGCAAGGAGTTCACGAATTGCTCTCCGCATACGGTTTGTTGTTATCATTCTGTGGTCAATCTTGTCATACGCTTTGGCAATGTCTAAAGCTACCATTGTGCATACAGCTTGACCTGTATGATGTCGTCCACCAAAATCGACAGGCCCTTCTCAGTACCCAAGTACGGTCGAAAGCTGATTTTCGCGGGGTGATATTTGCCGTAGCTTTTGAGCCACCAGGACACTCGTGTGGCATCCATCCTCTCTACAAGCTTGCAAATCGTCGGTGTAAGCGAAATCAAATCGTAAAGCTTGGAGATTGTTGGGTGTCTTTTCTGGCTTCCGGATAGGGCCACAATAGAATGTTTCCTGTCAGAGAGGATGTCTACTGTCACCCATACTTGGTTGATGGCCTGGAGGAGTGTGTCAAGGGCCGGACCTTTCAGGTTTTGGAACACCTCAGTAGAGACACCATCGTGACCCTGGGTCGTGTGTTTCTTTGTAGTTTTAATCGCCGCAATAAGTTAAGCCAAGCTAAAAGAACTAGATAAGTCTGCCTGGGAGTTGGACACAGACTCGTTAATATCGGGGCACTGTATGGGTGAAGCCTGATCCTATTTGGGAAAGAATTTTCGAGCTGCATAGGTTGCAAAAATTTTCGGTGTGCTTCGCAGTGCGAGACGAACACACGCAGCTGGGTCGGGCTGTTTTTCCCTCGCTCCATGGAGTGACGCGTGCGTTCGAGAGCTTTGTTTTTAGTACCGTTCCCAAGGCTATCACACCACTCAAACCACCTTTATCTGGAAAGCTGTTTCTCGTGCCGAGGCGCTTCGGCCGCAAGATGGTTCACACGGGATCGACTATCAGACATAGCTGTCCGGCAGCACGTGACATTTCGTACCACGTGATAACCATGTTCTTGACGGCCCGAGGCCAATGTTGCCGGACGGAGCCGAAGTTTCGGTTTCTACTTCTGCTCATGTTTAATTTACAATTAAAAAAATATATATCCCATTTTTCGCAAAGCAAATGCCGTATTGTCTTTTACTAGGGCTTGTTAAGGCGAAATCACTCATTATTCCGATATCTGCGGAATGGAGCGGAGAGTACGACCGCAGCCAACACTGTGATTTGACGAAGTGAATCAATAAGCGCCAAAAGCGCATCATCACGGCGCTGGTCGCCTTTATAAGCTTTCTGTTACCGTGTAAACCAATCACGCAAAGTGAAGGCTGCTTAATACTGCGCAATTTTTATTCCGTCCGTGATTGGTTCAGCCGTTATTAGAGAAAGACGACGAGTGCCGTGACAATGCACTTTTGGCGCTGTATGATTGGCTTCATTGGATCGTGGCGTTTGCCGCGGTCGGACCTAAAGTGAAACGGTATATAGAAAGGAATTGGAAAGCGTGTTTATTGCTGGACACTGCAGCCAGTTTCAACGCATTAAGTCTGGTTTCGAACGATCAACGTTCTTAATCAGAAGGAGGCCACAAGACTCTGCTGCTGCTCTCCGTAGATCAAAGTGATGCACACCGTTTAATATCGCGGTTTCTATCGAATACGAGAAGCCCGCAAACGCAGTTAGGTGTTTTTCGGGCGCCACAGGATGGCCGTACAGTTCTCGTACAGTATGACCGAGTTCCACTATAGCGACAAATATAAACAAAAAACAACTACACGTCTAAAACACATGCAGCATGCTCGAGATGGTACCTTTGGCGGGCGTTTAGTCGTTCGGTGCTCGTGAAGTAAGCACGAGTGAGTGCAAGCCTTCAGATGATGCCCTCGGCTGCATAATGCTCGTGTTTGAGCATAGCCTCGTTTATCCTACGAAGCATGTCAAATTGCGAAAGGCACTCTTTGAGGCTTGTCACTGTCGTCTCTTTTGTGTTCGTCGCTCTAGTGGAACTCGGGCATGAATGACAGGTTTTAGAAGAATCAACGGAGAAGAAAAGGAAAAACAAAGAGCAGGCTCAACCGCACAGCAATTTCCAGATCCTGCAAGTTTCTTGAATAGGCAGCAGAATACCGAAAGTGTGAATCACGCTGATTTCAGTGAAAACAAGAGGCCATAATAGAAATTTTGGGCTGGGATAATTAATTTTAGATTGGAATCTTACTAATCGCATATCGTTCAGTGAGCCATATAAAAAAAAAAAAAGGTAAAAAGTGAAACCTGGTTTTCGGTACGAAAATTGGAAAATATACCGGACCATTTCGTACCTCATTTCCTTCGAAACTTTTCGTCTTTTCACTGTGCTACATCCGCGTTACCCAAAGCACGCCAGCCTACACCAGCTCAGGTATTGGACACGAGCACTGCGTCAGTCGGACGTAGTCGCTCGTCAACAATCAATCCGTCGACGAATATTTAAATTCGCGTTCGTGGCCAATGATTGCCGTGACGGCACTTATCGTCGCTTGCAAATGACACGTTCCATGGTTTGCTTAAAGGACCCATGAAACGAATTTCGGGCTGGAGTAAATCAATTGATATTGGGGTTTTACTAATAGCACATCGTTCGGTGGGCCAAAAGAACAAAAGTAGAAAGTCAGAAGCCTGACTTTCGCTACAAAAATTTGCAAAACATAGCGGACTATTTCGTACCTCCTTCCCTTCGTAAACTCTCCGCCTTTTCACTGTGATACATCCGCGGACCCCGCAGCGCGTCACCGGGCTACTAGCCACCATAACCGGGCCCCCGCAGCGCGCCACCAGGGCCCAAGCGCACGTCACACGACACCGGACCTCACTTAATCCCTTTACCCCTAAGCTGACATTGCGGTGGAAGCTACGCGCTTGCCGGACATATCAGCCGCCTCCCTTTCATCACCTGACCTCATTCTCTGCGGGTCGGTATGCGCGAGAGGGCGTGATCACGTGGAAAATGTGTGGCTGGCCCAACGAGCACGTAGCTTCCACAGCACTGTCAGCTTCGGGGTGAACGGGGTGGGGAAAGCAACTAGTCGGAATTTTGAGCGACGGGCTAATCTTCTAGGGGGACAATGGCTGTGTCCGGGCTACACAAGCAAGATTCCGAGCAAGAGGGGACTCCCTTCTTTCCGACTTCTTGAACTGTTTGCTACAATGCGCGATTTATGAGTTGAGGAGGAAAGCTATACAAAAAAAAAAAGTTGAAAAAGCGTTTCATGACTCCTTTAAAGAGGAAAGTGAAAGGTTGGAGCCATCATCCCAAGCACGTCACACACCACGTGATTTCTCATTTCGCATTTCATGGCCCCTTTAAGAAGCATATTGTGAAATGTAAGTAAAATAATGCAAATTTTAAAAACTACAATTTTAAGTCCGAGTAAGAATACTATAAACGGCGAAGCTACTGGAAAATCTAAAACGATATTTCAAAAAATTAGGACTTTACGAAACATATAGTTTCAAAAACTGAGTGTGTTTTGAAGGAAAAATGAGAATCAAGCATTTTTATACTTAAATAATCCTTTTCCCGTTATTACCTTCCATGCGTTCACAGGTTCGTTTGACGAGGTGTCCTGAGAGCCAACACTGGCGATGGCGGCCACAAGGCTAGCAAACACAAGTAGTGTAGGATACATCTTGACTTCTTCAGCTCGACAAGAAAAGGAGATCTAAGTTAAATAGAAAACTGTTCGTTACTCACAGTTTCAATATGAACTAGCATGAGTGTAGAAAGAAACGAGTGGTAAGAATATCGGTGGCTTACCTTGGCAGATGTGTTACTTCTTCGGATCCCTGTTCAAGACTGACTCCGTGTACGAGGCAAAGCTGCTTTTAAAGGAATCTGTTGGCAGTAGGTCAGTGATGATCATTCCTTTGATATTTTGCTTCTAACCTTTCACTTGATTTATAAGTCACGGCCATTTCGCTTGATCTTTAAATCGTTACATTTCCTTTTGTCGTTCGCAGTCTTCACATTTCTTTTGACCTCTAAAAGGAAGGACAATGAAAACGGTTGGGAAGGTCAGTTGAACAATTGAAATACACCATAAGAAGTGGCCGTGACTTTTACAGCCATTTTTTTTAATAAATATTGACGAGTCCACAACGTCCATGAAAAAGACGTAGTTTCCGCCGTCAACGAGGGGAGAGGAGGGAACGACAAGGGAGCACAAGAAAACAAACAAAATGCCGACGGCATAGAGATCATACATACTAACTCTAGAGGAAAAGGTGCGCCATTTTGCCATGCATTCTGGCTGCCGCAAGCGGCGGAGTATGCAGGCAGACCCTCGGGGTCCCACATGGTTACCAACTGCCTTCGATTTCACAAATATATCATCAGAGCAGTTTCATGAACTTCAACAATCCACGAACTTACCGGTGGAAAGATATTCGCGTTCCTTTCGAAGCTTTCTTTTTGCATAGCACGCAGATGTACGGCCTCCCGTCAACACTAAATTAGAAAACCGGCTTCGGTTATCTGGTTTAGTTTCGTATTTCCGGGCGCGGCTGGCCGCGCCCGGAAACACGAAACCGCGCAACTACCAGATTTTCGAGATTTCGACAAAAGGGAAGTTAATGCAGCGTAATGAGTATGCTGCTTTTTATATACCTTAGAATAGCTCAGAATTTAGTTTGAAACGTTAAATTATCACTGTTTATATTGCTGAGAGTTTTCAGTCTTCGCGATTACCATTGCCACTGTCGTCCTTCAGCTGGCTACATTGGTTTCTTTCTCTCGTGTTCTGTCGCTCTCTTTCGCGATCTTTCACTCGGGACCCAGGATGACGGCGCACGGGATTTGCCACTCTTCCTCACCCACCTTTACCCCCCTGGCCGGCGGTAAGAAAGCGTCCCGATTAGCTGCTACTGGGAGCACGTCAACCGACTGAAAACCTATACCGATTCGATCGCGTTTCGCGCCTTGGCTGGCCTTGGGCGCCTTGGCGTTGCTGCCGTGTTGCTATAAAAAAAAGACTCTAAACGCGTGGACATTGGCTGGTTTAAAAGAGGCTGCGAGCCGAGGTATGCAAACAAATAGCGAGCGCCCGAAAGAGAAAGCAGTGACGGCGGCGGCGGCCGGGGAGGGTGGAGGGTAAATAAAATATCGGGGGGTGTTCTGCTACCGGAGCCCTCCCCCCCCCCTCCCCCCCCCCCCCCCATCCTGGTTACGCACCTGCTAGGGACAGTTGGGAATGGTCGTTGGAAAGACCAGTTGGTGGTGGCTGTGGTCGCCTTGTCAAGTTCGAGCAGCGGATATTCCGGACAGCCGACCGTCTCGGCGCGTTAAGTCCGTGCTCCGATTAAGAAGCCGAAATATCTGTTAGCGTTGCGGAAAACGTTTGTTCATCCATTTGGCCTGAAAACGAAGTAATCTATCCAACGGTAACGTGCCGAAAGCAAGCGACAGAAAAGTTGTCAAGATGAGAAGACAGGCGGACGCTGCCCTTTTTAGAATGCTTACCCCAGCGAAACCAGATACTTTGATTGGAAAGCCGAAATATCAGTTAACGTTGCGGAAAAGGTTTGTTCATGCATCTCACCTGAAAACAAATTGACCTGATATCAAAAGATGGTGCGCCGGTATCGGCGCAGCACATCGACGGGTTTCGTCTCACGTTGGAAGACGGAACACGGAGTATCTGACAAGTTTGACAGCGTCCTGCGTCGACAAGCGAGTTCAAGAATGTTGTCCTTCATTCAAATCTGAACAGCATACATCGATCACTCAAGGTAACTTTCCGCAAACGTGATCAAAGAGAGTCTTCAAACTTTTTACGAATATTAAAACGTTCTTAAAAACTTCCTAGCGTCGCAGTCATTTTTTTAAAATTTACCTTCTGGTGCTTCACAGAGGCCTTAATCAATTTATCTTCGATGATAATTTCGGCTTCTGCCACCCGTATCCACGAGATACCGGGTTAGTCATAGCCGTGCTGTCGGAAGTGGCTCATGCGGCTCGTCAATAGTTTCGGTGTGTCGCGCTCGTGTACGCAGTGTTCCATTTCGTTGCTGCGCTCGTAGTAGGAGTAAAGCAGCGCGTCCTTAGCGCGCCCAATACGAGCGCGAAACGCGCCCCGCCACTCGACTCGGTTGTCTGCGTCGCCACCCGCCGTTAACACGGGCAAGTTTTTTGGCCCTAGAGTCGATCGGGTATATCTCCCTCCGGGTCTCCTCCTGCGCCTCATTCGTTGCGCTGTTCTCTCTGTTCCCAGCGCTGCCGGCTGCGTTTCCGATCACCACCCGGTGTCTGTCGTTTTTGGTGCTCTCGAGCTTTCTACACTGTTAGCAAAAATAACACGCCCAGACGTGTAAACCGTTGTCCCATAGCGGACACGTCGAAACGTGTTCGTTTTACACGAGGCCATCTGCGTTTCTCGTCTACACATGAGGTACTGTGTAAACTTAACACGCTACACCGTGTCTGGCTTCCGCAAAACCGTTTCGAGCGTGTTCCTTATGAAACGTGGCGGCCAGCGGCCGAGAACAGGCGAGAGACGAGCCCAGCAAGCCGCGCGCCTTTCAACCGAATTGAAAGCACACAGGGCGCGTTAGTTCTCGTTCGATGTCTTTTATACACAGTAAAGTCTCCAAGTGGCGGACGTAGCTACGTGCAAAGGTACGTACGTGCGTTGTCGGCGGTCGGCGGCGTCGGGAGCTTCAACGAGCCGCTAGACAAAAAAAAAGAAAACGAATGCCGAATTTACATGGATAAATAACTTGAGCAAACTATTTAGAATCGGGCGGTAACTTGCGCCACCTATCGAGATTTCTAGCAGCCTGTTTTAAAAAAAAAGACGAGTCTGTTAACACTGCGAACGACCACGACTACACAGCAACCCTACATACAACGCAGGCAACACAGCACACAGCTACACAGCACCGACATGTACACAAACACAACAACCGACACTACGCCCGACACTTCCTACTCGACTTCCATTTCTCCCCCTGGCGCATATAAGCTTGACATGTGCCGGTGAGCTCTTTGGTCGCTGACCATTACAGATTTATAGAAGAATACACAAAACACGGCGCAATGGACAGCCGTGTGTTAGAACTGTTTGCATTTAAAAAAGTATGAAGGCAAAATCTATAATGTTAGTCCGTTGCAATAAATAACGATATGTTAACAATAAATCTTAAACCGGTCATGAAAAAGTTCAAATTTTTGTTATTTTCTTGCTTGACCAGTGTTATGAGCAGTCCGACTAGCTTGAATCAGATAGGAAAACAAATTATTGGGATTTTGTCATTACGTATACAATAATAAATGAAAATAATCCTTGCGCAAAGCATTTTTTATATATTTTTGTGAAGGACATCCGGACATCCGCCCAACACTTCACTTCCGCTAGTTGCAGCAGTTCCAGTACGGGAGCAGACGCCTTCACTTTTGGGGCGTTTTGATGCAGTTTGTTGTCGTATGTCGTGTCGGTGTCGAGATGAGCGGTGGGGCTTGGGAGTTTGTGACCGATGTTATTCGTGAACGCTGGTGTGATGCGCTGATGCGTCTTTTTTTTTATACTGCCACCACCCCGAACTTTGAAGATGCACGGGCCCGTAGCAGTGCATTATGCTGAATCGCGAGCTCCTTCTCTGTTGACGTCGCTTTCCTGGTACCACTTGTGGATACTGCAAGCGTTTAAACAGTGTGCACCGTCTCGCCTACATCCCCGGTGACGTACTCGACCTGTTGAAACTTAATGCATCCGTCATTTTAGAGTACGCAAGGCAGTTATCTCGTTGGTCGGGTTTCGGTTATAAAAGCAAGGCAAAACGCTCGTAGTTCCCGCCCTCAGTACACTTTGGACATCTTCCACACTTTGACACCGGATAACTGAATGAACGAGGATTTACATTCACTTCCGAGGTTACTCTCGCCGCTTCCTCACCGTTGAGCAGCAGGATGAGCTTTCGACAAGCCGCGGATGAAAGGCTTGAGCATCAACAGCCCAAGCGCACTCGGTGCCGATGCGGGCGACGCGGGTTTCTGTCAACCGGGAGGCCAGCACAAACCGTGACCATTCCAGCTCTTCGTCATGACACGGTGTTGCAGAGAGCAGGGTAAAAAACAGCTACACGGATCACCGAAGCAAACGACTGCTATCTTAATTCTTGGCTTGTGATTGCGCCTTTGTAGTAGATCATCTTATTCGTTTTGCTGGAGAGACGCAAACGACGGGCATAACAAAATCGCTTGCATATTCCGCATATCTCACAAAAGCATTTACCCTGTCACCTTGCGAAAAGCGCAAAACACGGAGTCCGCACCGTCCTAAGCTTTCCGTTTTTTACCTGCTTTAGAGCAGCTTGTACCTGCTAGTAGACATGCCTACTGAAACTGAAACAGGGCAGTGCCAGAGAGAAAGAGACAAAGTTGAGAAAGCTTGCTCGCTCTCCAATTTCTCAAATCTCAAGTGATTGTACCATAATAAATGCACCAACGCGTCTTCATAAATTAAGAAACAGCACTACGTTCACAACATAAAAAATGGTCTCAGTACATGCATCTGTGGGCAGGTAGGAAACCTTGCCCTAATTTATTCACGCCACATGATTGGCGCAACAAACTCGTTGCAGGACCGAATCATCTACTCGAGCGGTGTGCGTCGCTATGCAAACGCAGTCCAAC